AAAGAGAAAAGGGGAGAAGATCTAGGGATTTCCCCAACCCTTTCCAATCCTTAGGAATCCCTTTCCTACTCCTTAGACTGGGGAGAAGGGGCTTTTCTTATAGCTCCTTTTGTCTTCATTGGTATGTACTTCATTGGTATGCACTTCTGGGTTTTGAGCTTCTTTTGAGTAGAAACCAGGTAATTTTGGAGGGGGCAGTGAACAAATGGTAAATTCACTACTGACTTGGAATTTCGAATTCTGGTCTCTTTTCCCAATCTTCTTTCTCCCATTTACTCGTCAGTCCTCAGTCTAGGAAGTGCAAGTGGCATGCAGTCGAGGAGCTATAGTAGTGTATCTACTTCATCTTTCCCACAGCAGAACTCTATTATGATTTAAGTCTGTGCTTTATATCAGATATCTCATTTAATCTTAACCAGCTCTAAAAGATAGTTATCAGACCTATTTCACAGGTAAAGAGACTAGACACAGTTAGTTAAGTAATCTTCCGAAAATCACAGATGTAATAAATGGTAGAAAAATCTAAAATCCAAGTCAGAAGTGTCTTATTTCAAAGTTCATGAAGTTATTATTTACTTCCAAGTAATTTCTCCTAATTTGCTTCCCTTTTTTTCATTCTAAATAATAACTGTTATGACCTAAAGCACAAATTAGATTGAAACTATTATTTAGTTATCATTTACCTGAACCAAAGCTTGTTTCAACCATTTCTATTATTAATTTTGCAGGACGTGAAGCTCTTTATCATTCTGATAGAATTAGTTTTGTTCAGCAAATATTTATTATATGTTAGTTATGCATCATGCTATATGGGATTCAGAGTAAATTCAGGGACAGAGAGCCTATCCTAAGCATGCTTCTGGGCTACTCAGAGATTTACAAATGTGAATAGTAAACACAACACAAGAATGACAAAGGAAATTTTAAAAAATAAAGTGCAGATATAATTTGAGAAAGAAAAGACTACTTCTAAAGTCGGGACACAAAGGAAGATTTGTATTTTTTTTTTTTTTTGAGAGATTTTTTTGCTATAGGGCACGTGTGCTCACCACAAACAGAGACAGACAGACAGAAAGTGAGAAATCACCCCCCAGGGGGGATGGTCACGCCGCAATCCCTTCTCCTCCATTCTCCTCTTGGGATCTTGGGCACGCACGCACGCACACGCGCCCAGCATGAGTTCTAAGCCACCGGGTCTGGGACGTGAACCGCGGTCAACTATGTGGGAATCCAGCAACATAGCCATTACGCTAACTGCTGGTTCCCGAAGATTTGTATTTTCACCAATAAAATAGAAATAAGTATCAAAGAAAATGAAATGTATATTTACATGTGATACAGTACCACAGCGGTTTTCCTTATAACAATGGCATTCCCCAAGTGATTTCTTGTAACATTATGGACAGATAAGACTTTTTTTCATCTGTGTCTGTTTGCTTCCCCCCAGTCCCTAAAAAGAGCTTGCTTGCTTTCTTTCTTTCTTTCTCTCTTTCTTTTTTGTTTAACACTAAGATAAATGTCAAACAGTCTATTGGGGAAAGATTTAAATAAACTAAAATGTTCACAAGTAGTTTATTGGTAACTAAGGCTTAAAGAATCAAAAATGACCTTTTATTAATTTAATTTATTTAACATTTAGGACCTTAAAAGTATATCATATATGTTTCTATTTTCAATAGAAAAGAAACATTTGTTTGCATAGGAATTCATGAAGGTGACCCGACCTGGAAAAAGAGCTATTCACTTTGGCCATGGGGGTCTTGTGACAAATTAGTTTCTTCAGAGATTGTATTCAACCCTGAGGAATGGATTAAATTTACAAGGAATATCTATAACTGGACTGAAGCATATGGAAGGTATGAACGACAGTTGGACCATTTTTTTTTAAGTTTATTCATTTTATTTCTTTCATAAGAGAGACACAGGTACCCCTGATAGGGTCTTATCACTCCATAATTCCACATCATGACCTTCCCCCCACCTCCAGGCTTCTAGGCAGCCAAGGCTATGGGCACCCTCTGAGCCCAACCTCCTCAAGTCAACCCAGAGTCTGAACCCCTGGTCTTCTGTGTGGCTGCCAGCATTTCAGAGCAGTGCCCCTACTGCCTGCACCACCTCAACTGGGTCAGCAGTTGTATTTTTAAGTTCAACATAACAATTTTGTGTGCCTAAACAAAGTACTACATTTGGACATGCCTTTTAGTTTTTTTGTTTATTTGTTTTATTGATTGTTAATATTGTTATTTGCTGCCTACAGAGTATATAAATCATATACAGAAAGAGAACATGTCTTTCTTATCTTACATTTTACAGAATTATGACAAAATAGGAGGCTACACATGTGGTTGAGTATGTAACGCAAAAGTTAGATAAATGACGTTTTCTACATTCAGGTCATTTAATGCTATGTTGCCTACTCTTCTGTTTCTCATATCCCAACGTGGAAAAGGTTCAGTAACTGAAATGAATCTTTTCTGGGGGCTAGCAGGTGGTGTGGTGGTTCAGGCACTGAACTCCCAAATGGCTGACTGCAATTCGAGTTCCAGACCTGGTGGCTTGACAAACACACTGGGGACATGTGCAAGCATGGCCAGAATCCCAAGAGGAAAATGAAAGAGAAGGGATTGCAGCATGGCCATCCTCCCTGGGGGGTGATTTTTCACTTTCCCTCTCTCTGTCTTTTTCTGTCTCTATCCAGTGAATACGTGTGCCCTGTGGCAAAAACCTTAAAAAAAAAAAAAAAAAGGCACTCTTCACTCTTGTCCATGGTAGTTTCCACATTAGCTTGTCATATCTTTCTTTCTTCAAGAATGACAGATAACTTCTGTGTAGGAAAGACCAGGATCTGAGTAAACTTTTCAGTTTTTTGACAACAACCTGATTATGTTATAGGGGCATTAATAGTCTTCCTTCACGCATTTCTACATAAAGTTTATTCTCCCCCATAATTAACCTGTTGCTTATAATTCAAGACAACTGGCAAGGTTATGTTAAAAATGCTAATTTTTTAAAATAATTATTTATTTAACTTTATTTATTCATTTATTTTTAATTTGACCAGAGAGATACACACACAGAGAGAGAGAGAGAGAGAAGGTGAGAAAGCAAGCCACCAAGTCTGGGACTCGGATTGTGCTCAGCCATGTGGGAGTGTCCAGTGCCTTAATCACCACACCACCAATTGGTCCCCCAAAATGCTAATTTTTTTGAGAGTTTTGTTGTTGTTGTTGTTGTTGTTTGCTGTATGGCGTGTGCGCTTGCCAGAAAGACAGAGAGAGAGAGAAAGCAAGAAATCACCCCCAAGGGGGGATGGCCACGCCTCAATCCCTTCTCCTCCATTCTCCTCTCGGGATCTTGGGCGTGCACCACAGCACACACACGGTGTGAGTTTAAGCCACCGGGTCTGGGACTCAAACCATGGTCGACTACATGGGAGTCCAGCAATGTAGCCATTATGCCAACTGCTGGTCCACTAATTTTTTAATATAAAAAGAAGTTTATCATTTTTTCACCAAGATAAACTCATACTTTAATTTCTCAATTGTTTTTCTTGAATCAGTTGAGCAGAACACATTGTATGTAAGAACCGGAGATGGGATCTGTGCCAAAACCAAAGCGCTCTGCAACCTAATGAAGAAAACTCAGAAAATAACATAGGCAAACAGCTGATAGCTTATACATGTGTACAGCATTGTTCACTATCTCCATTCTGTGAAATAAGTACATAATAAGAGAAACTTGATGTAAGAAAAAGAAAAATCAGCAATTGGTTTGACCAGCATTTTCTGAGCAGCATCATAGCTCCAGCAATGATTTGTCCAAGCCAGGAGTCCCCTCTCTTTGGGCTTATTCCCTGACCTCACGGTTCTTTGGCTCTTAACTGCGTCCGTGGAGTGCCTATGCTTCAGCTCTGCCCATTCACCATCTAATAGTTCTCAGGAACAGCTGGCTCCACAAATGTCTCCAGCCTCTTCCTATGAATCCTTTGTTTGCTCCCAGGAGGCACTGGGCCTCATTATTGCAGATTAAAAATACATTTACCAAAACCCAAGATTCCTTGGAATTGAACTGTTTTTAGGAGAATACATTTATTGTTTGGTTTGGTCATTATCAGTACTTCCAAAATCCAGCTTATTGTATTGGCCTTGTAAAATTATAAAGCAGACGTTACATGTCCACAGCAATAAATGTAGCTGACAGAGAGTTACTATTTTTTTTCGTAACTACAGGTTTGATCCTTCTTCTTGGGAATCTGTGGCCAATGAAGAGATGTGGCAAGCAAGGTAAGTAATCTACATTTTTGTGTTTGCATTTGGTTTTTAATACGGAAGAGAAATCATCTATAACTCTTCACTTTGGGAGTAATTATGAGCAATTATTTTGTTTGAGGTTTTGTACTCATTGGTTATTCATATATTATTCATTATATATGAATAATCTTATCTCATCCTCACAATAACCTATAAAGAAGTTGTTATTATCCCCGTATTATAAAAGAACAAACTGGAGGTAGAGAGCTTGCTTACTCAAGGCCACATAGTGAGGGAACCCAAAGCTCCTAACTGTCTGACCCTGAAATGCTCAATGGCTATGCTTTCCTGCCTCAACTAAACCCAAGAGAGTGTGGATGGAGTAGACGTTGAAAATCACTGTCCTGCCATCATTTGTAATGTGCCAGCTAATTTAAGCATTTCTGAGGGGAGGGGGTCTTCAAACAGTTCATGGGAAATGTGTATTACTCTAAAATTTATGCCTGAATTTCACTTTTTTCACCACGATAAACCCATACTTTAATTTCAATTTTCTACATGCTTTTTTGAAGTCCCCTCATATTTAATATTTACTAGCGGCCAGGCTCTGTACTAGGCATTGAAGCTGCACATGTAAATATGAGACCATTTCTACCCTCAGGGAGTTCATGGTCTGATGTAGCAGACTTGCTAACAGAAATCTGCATACTAATGTGGTGGGTGCCCTACTTTCCTGTTACAAGGAGGGCCGGGCTGCTCTGTGTGGAACACTCATACGCAATGCTCTTGCCTCTCTTGATTCCTGCCATTATTTTTAAATAACCAAAATAACTATCACTAACAAATTTTGGCTAATTGGTAAAGCCCTAAGTAATGAGGAAGGGACAGCTTGAACTTATGGAATGTTCCCTTCAGCAAAAATGCACTGAGGCCCAGTCTGTACCAGACACTGCACTGAGAACTAAGTAATAGTATAAGGGACTTAGGAAGTTTAGAGAGTTTTTAAAGACTTGTCAAGAAAATAGCTCCAAATAATAATTACAAAAGTAGCTATACTATAGATTAGGCAATGGTATTTCTAGAAAAGTCAGAAAATGGTGTATTTCTAGTATTGGTTCAGTTATAGGGACAAATGCTTTAAAGAACTGACCAAAGCGGGGAGCCAGCAGTTAGTGTAATGGCTATGTCGCTGGACTCCCATGTAGTCGACTGCGGTTCGCGTCCTGGACCCGGTGGCTTAGAACTCACGCCGGGCACGTGTGCGTGCGTGCCCAAGATCCCAAGAGGAGAATGGAGGAGAAGGGATTGCGGCATGATCATCCCCCCGGGGGGTGATTTCTCGCTTTTTGTCTCTATGTGTCCTCTGTCTGTCTGGCAAGCGCACATGCCCTATAGCGAAAACCTCTCCAAAAAAAAAAAGAACTGACCAAAGATACAGCATATGTTTGCACAGTTGTTCACTGTGATTAAATGAGAGAAAGCTGGGAAGAAATCAGATAAAGGAGGAAAGCAGGTCATTATTCAGGCGGGTATTGATTTAATTGGGTGCTGAATGCAATGTCGATGAGTTCATGTGGTCAAAGAGTCTAGCCATCTCTGAAGAACTGGTCACCTACCACAGAAGGAACAGCCGTGATAGAGACCTACAGGGGTGTGCTGACAAACTCCACAAGTCCCCCCGTCCCAGATGCGTCTTCCATAACCTACAGGGGTCTTCAGAAAGTTCTTGGAAAATGATATTATGAAAAAAACTGCATAAATTTCCAAAACTTTTTTTTTTTTTTTTAGAGGTTTTTGCTATAGGGTGCATGTGCTCGCCAGAGAAACAAAGAGACACAGAGAGACAGAAAGGGAGAAATCATCCCCGGGGGGGATGGCCACTTAGAACTCACGCCGGGCACGTGTGCGTGCGTGCCCAAGATCCCAAGAGGAGAATGGAGGGGACGGGATTTCGGCATGATCATCCCCCCGGGGGGTGATTTCTCGCTTTTTGTCTCTATGTGTCCTCTGTCTGTCTGGCAAGCGCACATGCCCTATAGCGAAAACCTCTCCAAAAAAAAAAAGAACTGACCAAAGATACAGCATATGTTTGCACAGTTGTTCACTGTGATTAAATGAGAGAAAGCTGGGAAGAAATCAGATAAAGGAGGAAAGCAGGTCATTATTCAGGCGGGTATTGATTTAATTGGGTGCTGAATGCAATGTCGATGAGTTCATGTGGTCAAAGAGTCTAGCCATCTCTGAAGAACTGGTCACCTACCACAGAAGGAACAGCCGTGATAGAGACCTACAGGGGTGTGCTGACAAACTCCACAAGTCTCCCCGTCCCAGATGCGTCTTCCATAACCTACAGGGGTCTTCAGAAAGTTCTTGGAAAATGATATTATGAAAAAAACTGCATAAATTTCCAAAACTTTTTTTTTTTTTTTTAGAGGTTTTTGCTATAGGGTGCATGTGCTCGCCAGAGAAACAAAGAGACACAGAGAGACAGAAAGGGAGAAATCATCCCCGGGGGGGATGGCCACGCCACAGTCCCTTCTCCTCCATTCTCCTCTCGGGATCTTGGGCACACACGCACACGCTCCCGGCATGAGTTTAAGCCACTGGGTCCAGGACTCGAGCCATGGTCGACTACATGGGAGTCCAGGTACATAGCTATTATGCTAACTGTTGGTCCCCCAAACTTTTGTACCAAATAAGCTCATACTTCAATTCCTTTCTTTTTCCCCACAAACCTTTTGAAGTTCTCTCATATATAGAGAGGAAAATGGTCTATAATAATGATAATGACATAAACTTTTCTTAATCAATGATTTGGTGGGCCACCTGGTGGCATGGTGGTTAAGGCAGCTGGGTCCCACATGGATGACTTTGCAATTCCAGTCCCGGACCTGGTAGCTTGAAAAACACTGGCACATGTGAGTGCCCCAGAATCCTGAGAGAATAATGGAGGAGAGAAGGGCTTGCAGTGTGGCCATCCCTCCTGGGGATGATTTGTCACTTTCTGCTCTCTCTCTCTCCAGCTCTCTCAGGTAAATGCATACACCCTATAGCAAAACTGGAAAAAGAAAAAAAAAAAGATTTGGTGATCAATTTGAATTCAGTCTTGGTGGTAGGGAAGAGGAGTTGCTGTTGGTTCAGGGCAAACTTCCATAAACATGGGAGAATTCAAAATAATGTACTAGAGGGTTGTGTACATTCTTCATCAATGTAAAAGCCTAGAAGATTTACCCTGAAATGTGAAATTGACAGCACAATTTTAATAAAGGTTCCCACACTTGCCCTCAGGATGAAAACACCGTTCTTCATCTTTAACCTGGCAGAGACTGCTAATGTGCCATCAAGTGTGAAAGCTCAGCTCTACGGTCTTGCATACAGTGTATGTTCTACTTTTATTGTATACAGGTATATTTGGTGGGAGGGCAGGGGTGCCTGTGTGGGGTGAAGAGAAGGGTGTATCACATTAGAGGTTTTATCGTTTCCTGACTAATTTGGGCTTTATAAAACAGCATGTATGAAAAAATACTCAGTTGTATCTCAAGCAATGTCTAAAGTCAAAAGCTGTGGTAGACATAATAAGGCACCCCCCATGAGGTCTACATCCTAATCTTCAGAACCTGTGAATATGTTACTTATATGGCAAGATGTGATTAAGTTAAGGGTCTTGGGCTAGGAGATTATCCTGGATTATCCAGGTGGGTTCAATGTAATCGTAGTCCCTTATAAAAGGGGGCACGAGAAGGAGATGTGACAATGCACACAGAGGTCAGAGAGACCTGAAGATGCTATCCTGCCGGCCTTGGATGGAGGAAGGGGCTATGAATTAGGGTATGCAAATGGCCTCTGGACGTTGGAAATGGGAAGGAGCAGCTTATCCTCTAGGGTTTCCAGAAGGAACGAAGCCCTGCTGATTGTATGACTTTTTACCTCCAGAAGTGCCAGGTAATAAATTTAGGTTGTTTTAAGCCACTATGATTGTGGTAATTGGCTACACTAATGCAATGGCTCTATAAAAAATGAAGTTCTGACAACTCACCCTCTATGAAAGCCATGTTGCTGGCTACACTTGAAATGATAGGGCTATGGCTGACTGAGATTTCCTGAGTAAAAGCAGAGGGTCATGGAGGGTGGCTCTCTTTTAACTGTGGCCCAGGAACCAGAACAAACCTTCAGAAGACACAACTGCACTGAGACTCTGGCCCTCTCTGATGGGAGCAGAGGTGGAGAGGCCTGCTGCAGCTCTATTTTTATAAGCCTCTGCTGTTCTGTTTTTATGACACTGTGCTCTTCAGACACCTGCAGAGATCAGGTGTCTGAGGACTCTTTTTTATGAACTCTGCTATGTAAGAAGCAAATACCCTAGCAAAGGCCACTGAAAAGAGGGCCTGAGACCTGTGTGTGAGCAGCAGAGGTATTTATGCTCTCTCTAGACTGCTGTGGATTTACTTAGCCAGGGCACTTGTTAGGTGCAAAGTCAAAATAGTATAGTGTCCAATCAGTATGACTAATTTTACTCCTAAATTTTAATAATTAGTTCTGTTTATTCATGTATTCATTAATTCACAGAGCATTTCTTTTTTTTTTTTTTTCCTTTTTTTCTTTTTCTCTTTTTTTGGAGAGGTTTTTGCTATAGAGTGCATGTGCTTCCCAGAAAGACAGAGAGAGAGAGACAGAAAGCGAGAAATCACCCCCTAGAGGGGATGACCATACCGCAATTCCTTCTTCATTCTCCTCTCGGGCATGCATGCACATGCGCCCGGCGTGAGTTTAAGCCACCAGGTCCAGGTCTTGAACTGTGGTCGACCACATGGGAGTCCAGAAACATAGCCATTATACTAACCGCTGGTCCCCACAGAATATTTATTGAGTACCCACTCCATACCAAATATTGGAGACAGTCAAACCTTGTCCCTGTATCAGAAAGGCAGTAGCCTTGAAAGGAAGACAGATGACCCAGTCACTGGTCACAGTTCAGTCTTGGAAGGGCTGAGAGGCCTGCAGAGGTGCTGTGGGAACAAGGAGCTGGACATTTGCAAGCTAAGAGGCTGGGGTTGGGTGCTGGTAGTCAGGAGGCCCAGGTTCTTGGCCCACTCTGTCATTAATTGTCAGCTATGAGTCAGTTAACCTTTCCAGGCCTTGACTTTTTTCCTAAAAAAAAGGAAAAAAACGTGGACTTTGAACTTTAAAAGATTATCTCATGTCCTGGTCATACCCTATCCTATCCATCTCTACTACCTTGTAAAAAACGCAGTTTTTAGTGGGGAGGAATCTGAGACTGGCTTAGGACTGACGTAGGCTTCTTGTTCTCATCAGTGGTCTCTTCCATGGTCAGTTGCTGGGCCATGACTGAAGCGAATTTACGGATTCACTGCCCTCTGGGCCAGCACACTTTGTTTTTTTCCAGTGGACACAGACTACTGGTGTTTCCTTTGCTTACGTCTCCAAAGGCATAGCAGAATTTACAAGAAAAATGAGGCCAGAGACTCGATTGTTTAACTTCAATCCACTCCCAGGACTGCTTTTTGAAGAATATTCTTGCTAGGTTTCAAAGGGTGTTTTCGTTAATATTTATATTATCCCACTTGATTGTTAATACAGAACACTAAGTTCAGGGGACATGAAGTTCACCTTGAGGTGAGAGTGCAGGGAGGAGCCAACTCTCTAGGAATAAACTGGATAAGGTGAAGGTGTTCCCAGTTAATAGAATGCAGTCTGCTAAGACTAATGTCACAGGAACACATGCATCGGGGAAGAAATGTAATTCCACACAATGAAAAATGACTGTCTTTTTGAGATATGGCACATGTAGCTCAAAAGGCCATCCTAAGTCAATGGCGCATCAGTAATGCAGTATTCTAGAAAAGAGTAAGCTAGATGGCTCTTCTGATGCCCGAGGACTACGCAGGCAGGTCATGAGTGAGCCTCTTACTCTCTTGAGCTGTTGGGAACGTGCTCCTTTATGTAGTGGTGTCTGTTTTGGACTCCAAAACCTTAGGAGGATTTAGAAAACTGAGCAATTCCTGAGTGCCTACTGCAGGTGAGGCAGCGTGCTCTGCACTTTACACACATTCTTGATTAAGAAGGCTTAAGAAGAGAAGCACTAAAAAAAAAAAAAAAACATGATGAGGAGAGAGTGGAGAAACTGAGTATTTTACCAAAAGTACTAAAGGGTAGGAGACTGACTTAATAGCTTTGATGTATATGAAAGTGCATGATGTCTCTATTTTATAAAACACAAGGAGCTAAAGAGAAAGTTGTTCTAAAAAGCAGCTTGAAGATAGAAGGCTATTACATATTGAAATGGTATCTTAAACACAGATTATAGATTTTTCACAAGGATACTATTTTAAAATAGGTATGCATTTGTCTGCTCTGGAGTAGGGGTTGGGAAATAGACAATATAATTTGGTCCCTTCCAACTAAATGATATCTGAACATAGTTTCAGTTCAAAGAGCACTCATCTTGGGAGAAAGCATTATTGCTTGCTCTCTGTTCAAGAATGTACTGGTAAACTCAGTTCTACAGGTAAATTCCTGCAACTCTGACTCTAACTTGACAATCCCCAATAAACCTGTGAAATTCCCAAATAAGCAGGTATAAGATTCTATTTTGCAGATTTGTATTTGCTTTTTGGTTTATTTGTTGAATTTTAGTGTATTTCCTCTGGAAAACTCAGTATCAAAAACTGTCCTGTTAATACTATCTCTGATGTTGAAAAACAAAATTTTAAATTTCTGTGGGCAAAGATTTCACTATAAAAGTTGTGAATTATAGGGTACTATGAAGATTTAAGATATCTCACTTTAATAGTGTCTCTTAAATTCTGGTATGCCCAACCTGTGTGGTGACAGGTTTGTTGGGATTGTTTTGTTGTTGCTATTGCTATTACCATTTCTAATGTGAGAGAAATTTATGTAAATAATGTGGAATAAAATTTAAATTCTTTCAAGTTTTTTTTTCCATGCAGTCTTCTAAAGAAAGCTATTTTTTTTCCCTCCAGCAGCTAAATTTAGTTGCAGTCTTTCTGCCTGTTGAGTAACTCGCTTTCCGTGAATTAGAATTAAATCCCTTTCCCAGAACATCTTTCTGGAGGAAGAGCATTTCTTCCTGACAGTGTGTCTTAGGTTCCCCCTGCAACATCCCAAAGCCCCAGAAGCAGTTTTAGATGAAGCATACTTGCCTCCTGCTACTGTAATAATTACAGGAACATCCCTGCGTTTTCTCCGTCACCTAGCAATGATTAGATTTTTACTGTAGGCTGCTTTCTTTTTTTTTTTTTCCTGTCATTAATTTTTCTATGTTTTAAAAAAAAAATGTAAAGGGATAACAATGGAATACCACCATTTTCGCTGTTTTCCAGCTTTACAAGGAGATTGTCTACTTACAAAAGGAGCACCCAGTGAACTGGCACAAGAACTATGCCATCGCCTGCGAGCGAATGCTGCGTCTTCGGGAAGGAGGTGCAGACCCTGAAGTCCTGTTATCTGAAATCATCAGACATTTCCGTCTCTACACTCAGAAAGCACAAAACGATCCACAACTAGCTGATATTTTAGTTGCCTTAAAGCACCTAAGAAAGGAACTGCAAAGTCTGAGAAATATGAAAAGTGTCTGAGGCAGCAAAATGTGAAAAACTTGCTTGTCATTCAGCTTCCAAAATTCTGAAGTCCAAAAGTTTTATCCTCCAAGAAAAGAAATTTTATAAAAAAATTTAGAACTAAAAAAAAAAAAAAGAGAGAGAGAGATGCAAATTGAAAGCTAAGTCATCACCAGGTATAAGTAACACCGTACATACAGCAGTACGGTTTAGCGGGTGTTTAGCGACTAAGATGCACTATTTACACAAAAATCTATTGATTAGCATTTCAGTGAGGAGCTTCCAAAAAGCCTTCCTACTTCCACAGTCTTTCACCAAATGACTCGGCTTGATTAGATTCCAAAAGAGAATGACCTATTTTCATATACCTAAAATATCGACCATGAATGTTTTAAGGGCGTACTTATTGGAATTAGCTTTAAAGGTTAAATTCTAAAATATTAATACCAGACCAAAGATATTTTCTCTTTCCCAAAAGTGAAAATAATTTTTTTGAAAAGTGAATCTTATTATGCTTCAAGTTAGAATACATTTGTTTAAAGTAACCATGTCTTATATAATCTCACACTTCAAACTAAACACCAGGTGGGTAATAGTTGGGAAAAGATCGGGTTTTTATTGTGTTAGATGGTTCTCGGAAGTCACTAAAAAGGAACGCTAATTTGATGTTTGCTTATTTCAGCTGAAGAAACTAACAAGTAAAAAGGATTTTGTATTTACTTAATTAATTTTATATTTATGTTTTACTTCTGTTTGGACTCATAGATCTAGGCCCAATAATTAGTAGACTCCTGCTGCCAAAATGCAAAAAAAAAAAAAAAAAAAGAGAGAGAGGGAGAGAGGGAGAAGAAGCGATTGGG